GGAGACCTGTAAATGAAGCGCCTCCCCTGAGAGGGCAGGATCTTTCACTTGTCCCTGGTTTCTATCAAAAAAGGATCCAGGGCCTCCCCGAAAAGCCTCTCTCCCTTAAAAGGAGCTGAGGCCAGCTTCCATTTAGTTCTGACGTCCATCTGCCAATTTCTTAGCCAGAGGAGCCTACGTGCTGTTATGGAAGAGGTCATGGCTCTGGAAGAAAATTTGGCCGACGTGAGGGTGGCATCAGCAGTCAATTGAGCTGAAGCTATAATCTTATTCAGGTCCTGATGTACCCTGAGATCCTCAGGTGGGATTCTGCCCTGTAACTGCCTCAACCACTGCAAAGAGGCCTGCGTAAAAAAAGACGCGGTCGTCAATGCTCTGATGGCCCAGGCGTCGGCTTGATGAGCTCTCCGGAGCGCCATCTCCTCCTTTTGGTCCTCCGCCTTTAAAACATCCTCCGCATCAGGTGGGATGACAGATGAGGAAGCTAGGGCCACCACTGGGCCATCTACCTTTGGCACTTCCATAATGTCCAAAAGGTCCTTGTCTATATTAAATAAGGTAGACTCAGACCCACTGGGGCGAGTGTACATCCCAGGGGAGTCCTACTGCTTTTTTATCAGATTCAAAAATATCTGGGGCACAGGTACAGCGTCCACCACAGATGCTTTCTCAGTGAACAGGTAATCTTCCTGATCCTCTCCATCTGTGGAAAGGTCCCGAGTGACCGTGTCCTTTTTAAGATGATCCGTGCTCTTAGCCTTAACCAGCAGAGTCTTGAAGAGAGCCGGCTGGAAAAGGAGGTGGGACCTGTTACCTCTGACTCCTCATCCGAAAAATCCCTTTCTGGAAGGAGGTCCCTCTCGGAGCCATAAAATTGGCTGCTTTCTGAAGCCGAGCGCTCTCTGAAGTGGATCGGCTGTTCTGCAGAAGCCTGCCCATGCCCCTGAAGGACGCCACTGTTAGTGTCCAAATAAGACAGCTGGCACAGCTGGTTGACCTCTGCCTGCAATTCTTGTCTTATTGTTTGGGAGATCCAGGCTCTCATGAAGGGTGGTATTTCTTGCATCTGGGTCTCCTCAGGCCGTAAGCCAGCTGCTGTAGGTGTAAAGGTGGCTGCAGGCACAGGTCTGGCTCCGCTGGAGACTTGGCTTGCAGGTGCCACAATCAGAATGCCCTGAGGCGGCTCAGCAAAATTGTGAGAGGTTTCTGCCCTGATTTGGAGGTTTCCCTCCAAATCCTGAGTACTTGAGCCACCAGGAGACCAGGCAGTCAAATACTGCCTATCTGCCAGTTGGTCTAGCTACCTGTCATCTTGTGGAGGCAGAGGAGAGGTGGCCCTGTTTTCAATCATCCTGGAATCTCTCACTGCCTTGTCAAACTGTTTATCTATGGCTTTTTGTCTGTGCCTGGCCTGTCTATCCTCAGCCCTAGAGGGTCTTTTAGGGGCTAGAGCCCTGGCTCTAATCCTAGCTGCTACCTCCAGTCCAGCAGACCTGGGCTTGGCAGATCCCTTTACAGCCTTTTCTCTACCCTGCTGAGGAACTGACAGTTCTTGATCAGCTCCCCTGGTGGCCATTTTGAGCCCGCCAAAATTAACTGTCACTTGACAGAGGGAGGGAAAGGGAAAAAGTAAAGAAAAAAATTATTTAACCTAACGCTGTCTGCTACAGCCACAGTAGCTGTCCACCACTTCAGGAGGCTAGTGCAACGCAAAGTGGTGAGCTCAGCCCAGCTCTGTAATTCAAAAGCCGAGTCAGAGAAAAAAAAGGTGAAAAACGGCTGACTCTTTGAATTGCAGCAAGCCCTGACAGGTCAAAGGCTTGCGAGCCTGGCGCTGGCTGCACCGCAATTATCTGGCAGTCTCAAGCGTCTCGCAGCTGCCACGGTGCTCTGAGGACGGGATAGGGGGTCAGGATTCAATCCTGATGGCCAACCCCGCCAAGGGACAATCCTGGAGACGAACTGCAAGACTGTCCCCAAATGCGAGAAATGGCTGCCGCCGCTGAAAAAGGGGGCATTTAACAGCAGATGCCGCTAGCCCAAGTCAAGGGAAAGTGGATCGGGAGAAGGCGAGTTAAATAAGACGCTGCCTCCTGCCCGGGCCACACGGGCTCTCAGGGTCACCTCCACCCAAATTCCAACCAGAAAGGGAAAAAAAAACCAGTCCACCAGCAAGGAAAGTTTAAAAATTAAATAATAAGCAAAAAAAAGCAAACCGGAAAAAAGGCGCGAAAAAATGAAAGTGCTAAACCGGCAAGCCAGCTAGCTGTCAAACCTGATCTAAGCCTCTCTAAGACAAAAGTCTTAAACCAGGGGGTGAAAATTCTTCTGCAATCTGAAATATTCAGAGACCTTAAAGGGTGGTCTGAACACGCTGAGACCAAGTGAAGAACTAGGGACCGTTACCAGGGGGTGTGTCCTCAGTTTTTCAACTCGGTCTGCAGAGCGAGGAGACTAGAGACTACCCCATCCTGGACTCTCCCTTCAGCTCAGTGGAGAATTTCCCTGTTTCCAACACAAGATAGATAGATAGATAGCATAGACAAATTACTCTGACCTATTTATGTTCAAAATTATGGAACAGGAATAGTTTGTTTTGAGGGGAGGGATGAAATACAATACAAAAGAAAGCCTGTAGATCAGGGGTGTCCAACCTTCGCAACTTTAAGACTTGTGGACTTTGCTGGCTGAGGAATTCTGGGAGTTGAAGTCCACAAGTCTTAAAGTTGCGAAGGTTGGACACCCCTGCTGTAGATCAAATAAAAAGTCTCTGTAATTCAGTATTCTGTGTCAGTGACAAGAAGATATTTTTTAATGGTACTTAAGCAGCATATAAAGCTGTAGCTCCATTCTAATGTTCTTCCTATTGGCTGTAGCTAGTTAGCCAGGAAGACTAATACCTCTATTTTTTCCATGAATCTGTTGAACTCATCCTAAAGTCAGCTAAGCTAGTGATTATCACCACAATTACAAGTAGTGAAATCTATAGGTTATATTGCTTATCTGAAACTTTGTTCAAAACATTACTCCTTGTAATATATCCTAATCAAAGGGAATGGCATGACACATAGAACTAGTTCAGACATGTTCAATTGGAATCATAATCCTTGATGCTATACCAGAAACTGCTTTTTGTAAGATCCATGTTTCAAAATCAATTTTATGGGTCGAGTAAGGAACTACTGCACAAAATAATAAAACTTAAAAGTCATACTTGATACACAGTGGAGCTGACCAAATCCCTGGAATGTTGACATTTAACAATTAAATTACTACATTTATGGTCAATTATAATGGTATGCAACTATTAAAAACATCTGGATGTATATTCCATTTTGATTAGAAAAAACTATAGGCTATTTGGCACAGGATCAAGATAGAATACTCTTTCAGCAAAACTTGAACTAAATTATATAGTATATAATCAGAACACAGAAGCTCATATATTGGTCAGGTTATCTTGTATTGAAATATGTTCATGTTTGTGTGTGCAACTTGAAATTGACATACTGGCAATACTTGAAATAGTGTTTATTTTACATATTTAAGAGACAAAGTTATAATTTTTATGTTAACTTGTTAATGTATCATTGAGTAGTTTCTTTTATAAATGAAATTGAAATACAGGACAGATGTTTGAGAAACCACATTTAGTGGTTGCACACACTAATTTCAAGTAATATCAGTTCAACTATTAAATAAGGTACATTTTGTTAGATTTTGGGAAAAAGAAACATCAGGAAATATTTAAAGGGCAATTGTTGCCAATTAACTTTGATCAACAAAAGTTGTATGTGAATCTTCAGGATTCTTTTGCCTGCCTAGAATAATGTATATTTATAAATTCTAACAAAATAATATTGTGATGATTAATGCTTATTGGCAATGCTCCCCAAGCTTGTTTAGTGGTTCAGTTTTAAATAAACCGCTGTCTTTATTACGACAGAATCTGTGTTTGAAATTTTAATGAATATAACCAACAATCTGTTTTTCCATTGATAAATGAAAGAAACACAAGAGTTGGAAACTACTATTCATAACCAAGGAAGTTTTTTTTTTGGGGGGGGGGGGGAGGATTAAGATGAAAGATTTTAAGCTTTTGATACGGTTCTATATAGTTTGACATTACAACTAACTGCTAGAATTTCCTACAGTTCATGCAAAAGATCTACTTATGTTTATTATTCACATAAACATTGTGAACCAAAACATTTATCATAATAACTATAAAGGTATGAATCAGTTACTCAGGTTTCATTGTGCTATTACTGTGCTATCAATAACAAATATGTTCTTGTTTTTGTTGATATCTTAATCTTGTGTTAGTAGCCCAGACTCACAATTGTGAGACGGAACATAAAACAATGTAATAAATAAAATAAATTTCACAACAAATACACCATCTACAAGATGCATGACAAAAAATAATAGTATTAATATGGTATTGGAGAAGACAGAAACCCCAGTTTCTAAAAGGCATTTAATATATGCAAGATTACTGAATTAACTTAATTTCAACACAGTTCCTCACTCTGAGTTGTATTAGAGCAATACACACACATACACACACACACACACACACACACACACCGATAGATAAATATTAAGTTTCTTTAAGGGGACAACACAATTGGTAGAGTGTTTTGAGTAGAGATAATGAGAAAGAGGAATGACAGGAACAAACTGGGTAAATATTGTAGGAATTATTTGTGAAGAGATCCCAATAGTAAGGAACAGAACTGTACCTATCTCAGCCTATGCCAGGAATACAAGACAGATACTTGAAACCAATGACAAACAGTGGGTTGCATATTAGTTAGCTACACCTAGAAACAGACAGCCAATTACTATGAAATTAGTATCAATAAACTGATAAAGAACTCCAAAACACTAATTTTGCCAGTGTAAATCTCTCTTATTTTCTTATAGAAAATAGTGGTCACTCAACCATTATTTAGTCTTTCAAAAATCTGTATGTCATTCAAATAATAATTACTTACTTCTAAATCATTAAAGAACAGATGCGTATCTGCCAAATTGAAAATCATCTCCTCCATCCTTAGTCCCAGTGAAACAGAAGTAGGGGGGTCCTCATAAAAGAAAAAACAAGAAAAAAATTAGACTTATCAGAGAAAAGAAGATAAACTGTTATGGTTAAAATGCCTTATAGGGAAGAGGACTTTTATGGCCCCAAAACAGTGTTCTAATTACAAATTCTAATTACAAATTATGCAATAAAAATAACAAAAAAGAGATAAATAATAAACCAATTACCACGTACTATGGCAACAAGGAGAGGCAACAGGTCATTAGAGCTAAAATTTATTCTATTCCATTCCTATTCTATTTGTTCTGTTCTATTCCATTCTGTTCTGTTCCACTCCACTGATTATTTTATAATTGTTGAGGTAAACATTTACAGATTTTTTTTAACAATGGGTATCGGGATAGGAGCTGTGGTGGTGCATTGGTTAGAATGCAGTGCAAAACGCAAAATGAAAAAAACTGAAGTGCTATGGGGCTTTAGAATTCAAACAGATAAGGCCCTTCCACATAACACTCCAGACTTAATAACTGTCAATCGGAAAGGCAAAAAAGTTTGGATAGTGCATATGAGAAAGAACTGGACAAAATCACAAAACACAAAGATCTACAAATAGAAGCAGAACGATTGTGGCAAAAGAAAGATAGTACTACTAATAACAACAACTGCCTTGAGTACAATTCCAAAACATCTGGAGTACCACTAGAATACCATCAGCATTGACAAAATCACCATCAGTCAACTGGAAAAGGCAGCTTTACTTGGAAGCTTACATCCTATTATGATACCTTTAACATTATTAAATAACACCAGCTTATCCCAGATCCTTTGGAGGGACAGAAATATGTAAACATCTGGATGATTATGTGATAAATCACAACACAATAACAATAATAATCTCCTCCATGGACACCCATTATTATGGTGACGGGGCTTTGATAATCTGTTCAGGTTGACAGCTCTGCTGGCATTAGTGTATTTTACTCAGTCAACAGTCACTCTAGCAGAGAAGTCTCATAGCCTGACTATGTGTATAGTGAGTAAATAAAAAAAAAGAATCCTGTACCAGATTCAATGACCTGATTGGTCATTGCCTGGCTCAGCAAGGATCGCATCAGGTATTAGAGTTCCTGGATATCTTGACAAGCGGTCAGTAGGACTTAGGATGCCTGGGCAACCAGAGCTTAGCCCTGTAGGATTATTGGAAGAACAACAACCACAAAAATGTACTGTGATACAAAAACCAAGACGTTGTGGCCTATTATAAATTGGAATCAACAATATGAAGTTACTTAAAGTGAATGTTTGAATTTTAGAAAGAATTCATCCAAACTCAAATATTGCTGAACAACTATTAGCAGGTAAAAGGAAATTTATTATTAGAAATAAAATATTCAGGAACGCAGAATTGGAAGAAGTTCAGAAAAATTGTGATAATAGAAAACCCAAAACCAATACAGACAGTCCATACTCAACGTCTATTCATTTAGTGACTGTTTGAAGTAACAACGGCACTGAAAAAAATTATGTATGACCAGTCCTTGTACTGATGACTGTCACAGCATCCTTACAATAATGTGATTGTGATTTGGGTGCTTTGTAACTGTCATGCATTTATGATGGTTGCAGCATCTGTGATCATGTGATCGCCATTTGTGATCTTTCTAGACAGCTTCCAACAAACAAAGTCAATGGGGAAGTCAATAGAAAAGGTTGCAAGTAGCAGTCACATGATGTTGAGTTTAACAACCATAGTGATTCACTTAATGACCATGTCATAAAGGTCATATTGGGGTTGGTCATGTGCTATCTTATTTAATAACCACTTAATGATGAATTTTCTGGTCCTTATTGTGGTTATAAGTCAATGACTACCTACAGTAGAGTAGTAGAAAACACTGAAATAAAAATTGGAAATATAGAGGGAATGTCTGATAGAAATGATAGAAATGATAATTTAGAAAATGGTTGTTCAATTTTTGACTTGCCAGGGCCACATCAACTGAAGAGGAATTGTCTTGGGTCATATTTTAATATATAATATACTGTAGTTAGTGCATATAAAGAACAAACTTTGTTTATATTTTTTATGATCTTATGTGGCTACATTATAGTTGTCCAGGCTGCATGCACCCTATATCCCACATGTTGTACAAGACTTAGAACAAGTAATAATCAAATAATTAGTAGTACAGGTTAGCACTGTAATAACCTGACTCTCTGACAAGAAGAATGAAAATAAACTAATATGGCATACGCACAATCACCAGTAGGAAGACAAAGACTACCAGGACAAGAAAGTAGTGCCTCCCCCCACCCAATTTTGTGCCAGCTATAATGAAAGATGAGAATAAGATGCTTGCAAGGATCAAAATAACATCTATCGAACAAATCAATCAGCTTGCCTATAGTATAGCAGTGGTAGTTACAAAAAATTGAATACCAAAATTAGAAAACCAAAAATAAACATATTCGATCCCAAAGTGAAGATAAGATTGGAGGCCAAATTAAGATCAGATGCAAATAATTTAAAGAACATGAAAGAGTTAAGTTAGGTAAAGTAAGCTAGTTGAAATGCTAATGATTCACAGAACCACCTTGCAAGTAGCTTTTGTTACACAATGGAATAATTAAAAACATATTTTTCGGAGTATAAGATGCTTTGAAGTATAAGACTCACCTAGCTTTTGGGGAGGAAAACAAGAAAAAAAAAATCTGCCTCTGCCTCCCAGCAATTTGCCTCCTTGCAGCAAACAGCCTGGTCAGCTTCAGCACAGCCTGATTAGCACAAGCAGGTGACTGTCGGTTGGATTGGCCTCCTGACAATCAACTGTTTCAGGCTGCAAGGATTGCCATAGCCTATTGCTGCCTCCGTGCACCCCTTTTTTGCATGCCATTTTCAGCCTCCACCTGCCCTCTTTCCGGCCTCCATGTGCCCCATTTTGGGGCCATTACACATGGCAGGGATCAGAATGGGCGGAAAATGGGGTGCATGGAGGCCAAAAATGGGGCATGTGAAGGCTAAAATGGGATGCGGAGGCCGAAAATGGCAGGTGCGGCGGTAATAGGCAATGGCAATCCCTGCAGCCTGAAACGGCTGATCATCGGGAGTCCAATCTAACCGACAATCAGCTGCTTGTGTTAATCAGGCTGTGCTGAAGCTGAAACAGGCTATTTGCTGCAAGGAGGCAAATTGCTGGGAGGTAGAGGCCGAAGGGTGTGGGGTGGCAGGTGAGCAGGGCTTCGGCAACATTAGCTGTATAAGACACAGACATTTCCACCCACTTTTGGGGGTGGAAAAAGTGCGTGTTATACTCTGAAAAATACGATAATTATTATTGTAAGGTTCTATCATATTATTTCATTTAATATTTAAACTTAGAAAACTATAAATAAGTAAATGCTATACATGTACAGGTTTACACTAACAGAAAAGAAATTTTGCATTCATAACTTCTGAATCCAGTGGTGAACAAAGTTTGTAGTCCTGAATTCTTCCCTAAATCTAATCTATTGCCTACACCAGGGCTGTCACATTCCTGGTCCATAGGCTGAATGTGTGATGCCTTGGCCATGCCCACACCCGGTTTAGCGAAGGGGGAAGTCCCGATATATCACGTGACGCTGCCATGACGACGTGTGTTTAACACCCCTGCACTACATGATTACCATTAATTCAATTACCTCCATTTCTCCCACATCCAAAGTGACAGAACCCTATTATTATGATGAATATCCATTTTCTACTGCAGAATCTCATATACATTCCACTAGAACAAAAATATATTTAGAGCTGATTGTGTTTTAAACCTCTACATGTTTTTGGAGATAAAATCTCTTTGCTCACTTAGACCTTGTGTATAGGTCTGACAGAGAATCTAAATATTAAATAGCACAACATTGTTTTAAAGCTTGTATACTTCAACACAAAAACAATAGTGGCCAGAACTGGCATGCAGACTGAGATAAAATAATGGAACACTAGACCTTTTTGGCACTGAGTGCCCAAACCGGAACACATGCATATGTGCTTGCCGGGGTGCTAGTAAACTGAAGACCAGCTGGCTGGTGTGCACATGCCTGTTATGGGGCCATTTTTCAGCCATTTTGGGGGCAAAAACTAGCTTGAAAACAGCTTGAAAAACACCCGGGAAACAGTTGAAAAATGGCCTGAAAACAAGACCAGCTGGCCGGCACGCGGCAGAAAGCAGAAGAGCAGCTGGTGACACCATGTATGCCCAGAGAGGGCTCTGCATGCCACCTCTGGCACGTGTGCTATAGCTTCACCATCACGGCACTAGACTGTTAATCTTTGTTATTTTAATTCATTTCTAAATAATTATTGCAAAATTAAATGTTTGAAAAGTGTAATGAATCAGTTAAAAAGTACCATTTATAAACAGGAATGACATATTTATTAGAATTTTTTCCACCCATATTAGCATGTCATCTTAAAATCCTTGCTCCCTTTGTTTTCTGGTGAAACAGGAGTTGAAAAACAGGAAAGTTCACTTTTTTTCCTGTCTCAGCTTATTTTCCAGTTAGCTGGAAAGTCAGAATTGAATACTTCTGTGAAAAAAGTTATTTTAATGTAGCATGTTATGACATATATCTCTTACAATTAAATCGAAGAAAAAATAACTTCATATTAACACTAAAAAACTTCAAATGATGAAGTACTGAACCACAAGTACCACTACATAAACAAATTATCTGAATTTTAGCTAAATTTCATAGTCTTTTAATCTGCACAGTAATTTTCTCCCTCTTTCTTAATCTGAATCAATTGAGTTTCCATTTAATCTAAAGTGGCAAACTATCAGTTTTCTCTTTGAAGAATTAAATATCAGTATTTGACAATGAGAACAGGAAAGAGTTACTACATAAGCCTGATATTCATTTACATAATGCCAGTATGTAACTTGATGTTATATTTGAATTATTTTACTTTTTCTACTTTCCAATTCTTGCTCCATGTTTTGCAGGGACAATCTGGGCTTCAAAGAATCAGCTGTCTGGCAGGAGAACTTCTCTACCTCATAATGCATCGCAGCTGGTGAACTAATAAGTAGTAAACCCATAGCCTCAGATGCACAGAAGGCATCACTGCATATATTCAAAGAACATATCCCACTACTTCTATACTTTCTTTTCAGCATAATATCTACACAGCTGTTAGTTATTTATATTCAAGATAGTGCTCACAGAAAACTGTTCTTTTAGGACTATTGGATAAATAACTGGAAAAAAATATAATTTAGATTGTAGTAATATGTAAGTAATGGTCTAACCACAGAGTAAGAGTTTAATTTACATTTGTCCTTATAAAAGAAAACTGGGAGTCACTTCTTTATATTTTCTTTCTTTTTTCCATTTTTCCTGCATTTTTTATTTGTTCTTTTCTTATTTTTTCCTTATTCCCTTCATTCTAAATATTACTTATTATTAGTTTCTATCTTCCTTCTTAAATTGTTAATAAAGTTATATAAAATATGTATATCATATGCTGACTTTTAATGTGCAATAAGTACATTTAAAATAATAAACTACTATATAAAATTTTACTGTAGTAAAAAAGGGGGATAGCAACTGTATCTTCTACCTACCGTAGTTAATTTTTAACTGTATTGCCTATACATATCTGTGCCATTTTTTAAAAAAAGATGCAATCCTAAATTGAATCATTTGTTATTTGTCTGAATTTCATTTCTACAAATAGTCTTCAGTTCTGATCATTTATATTCAGCAACCATTCAAACCTACAACAGTGGCGAAAAATTAGCTTCATGCCCAATTATGATCTTTGCAGTGTGCCTCAATAGTGGTTGTCATTACAGGTAGTCCTTGACTTACAACTGGTCATTTAATGACTGTTTGTAGTCATGGTGGTCTTGGAATGGGTGCTTTATGGTGTGTAGAGTACTTCCAGATGCACTGTAAAATATTGCATTGCACTCCTTCTGCAGTCACAAAACCACGTTTTGAATACTTGGCAACCTGTTCCCAACTGGTTGCCAAGTGCCCTGATCACTGCAGCATTGAACAGTCACATGATCACCATTTGCACATTTCACAACCATTTTCTGACAATCAGAGTCAATGGAGACTCCAGCAATAAAATTGCATGTTGTGGTCATGTGATGTATCATTTAATTATTGTGTCACTAATTGACAAGAGTTGCTGGTCCCAGCTGTTAGTTAGGTGAAGACTGTCTATAATAGGTACAACAACCAGCCTTAAATTTGACAATAAAAATATTGAAGCAGAAGATGGTTTCTGACTTTTAGGATAAGCTATAAACAGAAAAAAAATATACCAGCACTCAAGAAATATGCTGCAAAATAGCACTTGGTAGAAGCAACAAAGGCCTGGGAAAAAATATTCAGATGCCCTAATAGGTCTATATAGGTCAGAATCATGCAGGCAAATTTTCTTAGCACTACTCTATGGACGTGAAAGTTGGACAGAAAGAGAACCTTTACTTTTGAAATATGGTGTTAAAAAGGTTTCCTGAGAACTCTACAGATAGGCAAATGAACTGGGTCAAAGAACAGATTAATCTAAAGTTCTCACCAGAGAACTTTACCAACCATCCTCAAATTATGCAAAGACCTAGCCCTCTGAAGAAGACTTTAATGCTGAGAATCATAAAATAATGGAGCTGGAAGGGACTTTGAAGATCTTCTAGCCAACTCTCTGCCCAAAGCAAGAGTTCTTATTCCATCTTCCCTAAACAGGCTCCCACCCATTGTTTCTTGTCCTGCTTGCTTTGGAGAATAAGTTGACCTGCTCTTCTTTCTGACAGCCGTTCAAGCAGACAGTTTAGCCATTTATATTGTCACTCCTAATCCTTCTCTTTGTTGGGCTAGACATATCTAATTTTCTTAAATAGACATACTGGAAGAAGAAGAAGAGGAGGAGGAGGAGGAGGAGGAGGAGGAGGAGGAGGAGGAGGAGGAGGAAAGTGAGTGAATTCAGTGGCAATGGTGATAAATGAGCTATTAGAAAATCATGTTAGGGAGAGATCGTCATGGAGAAAATCTAGCTATGTGGTCACTAAAACTTAATTAGTAACTAGATGACATATCATCCATCCATCGATCAATTAAATATTTTATCATATCATAAATTCTGTACCATGTAACCAATTTTCATCAGCCTATTTATTTAATAATAATATTTATTTTTCATTATGGTGGCATTATATTAGTACAGTTTGTTATATACTAATCTAAAAAAAAAGATAATAATGACAGGCCTATATAGAAAGTTCTTTATGCAATTTGCATAGAATATTTTATTTATGTCTAGTATTAAAAAGCTGGAACTTTTTTTTATCCATATCATAAATTGGTTTTAGTTCATTTTACAATTCTAACATTACAAATGTCATTTAATCATTTTGTACCTTTTTTCTTTCATTCAGTGGAAAATTGATATTTTATGTATTTAGAAGTATGCTATTTTTTAGAATGGCAAATATTTTCTCACCCAAAAGTCAGTAGGAAATTTGTACATCAGTAATAAAAAAAAAATACCAAAAGTTTTAAATTCATAATTTTTTATTATGTCAACATGAGGACAAGTTGCATCATGAATTCCTAGTGTATTATTATAGAGACACTACAACTATAATACAAATATGTATTTATTTGTTTGAAAAGCAGTATAAATTTATAAATGACTTTACTTTTACAATTATTTCTTAAAATTTTTCTGAATTCACTATCAGCTTCTGATGACTACACAGAAACATTTGTATTGATTTCTTTACAATATGGATGTTTCCAGGGTGTTATTTCTTTTCAGATTTCCAGATGATCTCCAAAATTTATCATTTACTTTCAATTCTTCCTAAGAACTGAAACCCCAATGAAAATTATTATTTTTATTTCACTTTTAGCTTCAGTAATTCATCCTATTAAGTTTTTACTTTTTTCTATAGATTGCTTCTATATACAAATGTTGTATTTCATACTTACTCTCCCATATCTATTAGCATACGATCCTGTAAGAAGTGAATGGAAAATGATGATTGTCTCATCCAAATCCCAAATGAATACTCTCTATAAAAATAAAATCAAAATATTTACATATGTCATGTTTTATAAAGTTGGTGAGTACAGTAGACTTACCTAAAATAATTGTTCTGAAAGTTGTACTTATTATAAACTTATCTATTTTTATTCAATTTCAGACTAATGTCCATTATATATAATGTCAACAATGATGACATATTGCAAAATTTCTCAAGATATAAAGTGAATGGTTGCTTATTAAAGCATCCATATCTTTTTTATGTTTATGCAAAGTTTTAAAAATAATTCAGGTTCTGGGACATGCTATGCTCATATTTTCTGTTTTTCAAAATTTATCTTCCAAATCACTTTTGAAGTAAGCATAGCCTTATAGCAATAAGGGTAGTCAATTAATTGTTGAATGTTATAAATTCAAACACAAATTATACAATAAAAGTTGTTTTTCAAATAGAAACACACACTTAGTTCATTAGTTTGTTTGTTGTATCCATAAACACAATCAACTTACTAGAACATTAATTGTAACTTAGTTATTTCTTTTGAAAATGTAACATTCAAGGTTTGAACTTGAACAGTCATAAAAAAAAATGTAACTTTTACCTTGAGAAAGAAACAACAGGAGTTCAACTACAGATGAATAATTTTGTAGAAGAAAATTCACTTGTAAAAATACAAGTGTTGCTAAGTGTTGTTTCAATTAATTTTCAACAGTTTTCATGAATTCGCATTTACTTTCCCTATCAACTCTTCCTAATGCTGTTCAAAGGATGAATCAATATACAAATAAAATAGACGTTTCATATCTAATACCTCAAGGTCAGAGTCAGGTGGTGGTGAAGGATTGTTATTCCTTCTGCCTCGGCCACGTGATTTGCCATCTGAGCTGCGACGCAGCCTATCTGCCTCTGAATCTTTAACTGGTGTTGTAGGAATTGTACTGTACTCTGCTAGAAAAGAGATGGAAAAAAATTGCTTTAAAAAGAGATGAAAAAAAATTGCTTTAATTCAATTGTAGCTTTCTGGATTTCATTATTTTAAGTAGGCTGTACAGATTTGACCAGTACAATTATCTTGTGTTCACTTTAGCATTCATCTTGGATTAATATTATATTAATATAATATACCTGGAAGAGCTCTTTCTAATCTTATCCACAACAATCAATAGATAATAGAAGTTCACTTCTTGCCTATTATCAAATGCTTATTGCTTCAAAAAAATGACTTCCAACTTTTAAGAACTCAAATATGTCCCATCTAAAATTATGAATGGCTAAATTTCAGTGATATCAATTAAGTACACTGTTTTGTTCTCCATTTTTAAAAAAATTATTACCATAAAGACTTTTACTTTAAGTTGAGCTAGTGATCAATGAGTTTCTAAACTGGTATGGCAATTTTTATAGAGACAAAAAATAAGTTTGTTAGACAGATTTATTTTGAAGAGATCCTTCCAATTCTTCTTTCCTGAGAAAATCATGGAGGGGTATTTTTCAGTAGCCAAAAGAACTGTCCTTTGTACAAAGGAAATTTGGGACAGATTTTGGTTTCAGTGCTGATCAAAATACCGGTAAGTGCATGTGTGCCTAATTTTACATTCTTACTCATGGTTTCAGCTCATGATCAATTTTAACTATATTATAGGGTTAATGAAAATAATATGAATTAAGATTCCCATAGAGATTTTTGAGGAAGGTCAGGGTTCATAATATGATAGACTTACAATAATAGTTTCAGTTTACCTTTGTATAATTAATTCAATTTCTTCAAGAAATTGAATATGTATGTATGTATGTATATGTGTATATATATATATATATACACACACACATATATACATACACATATGCATGTGCGCGCACACACACACACACATATCAACCTAAACTCAATCGATATTGAAGTAGGAATATTTTCCTTTGGAAAGAGGAGACAAAAGTCTCTTACAGTTTTATGACAATTTTCAGGTGAATACTAGACTGCTTATTCATTTGGAAGTATTGATATCTAAAGATGTAAGCCAATAATAGCTACTTGATAACTTAATAAGAGAAGAATACCAGCTCATGTATCCACAGAATTAAATCAGTTTAGTGCATGAAACTTATCTGAATATGCCAATTCTTACTTCTGCAATGTCTCTAATTCTAATCATATATAAGGACAATCAGCCACTAAAATCAATGAAATGAATTTCAAATGAATTTAAACATATCCTTCTCCCCTTTGCCAGTCACAACAAAATTTCATCAGAAAGGTATAACTTGGGTATGTTGTCTAAGTCCTTATCTTAGTATAAGCATAATAAAACTGGGAATAGAGGAACAAGGTGTTCAACACATTGAACTTTCTATAGACAAGTTATTTTGGGATTGCACCCTAGGTGCCCATTACTATTGCTACCATCTTTGCTTTAGTACATAGAGCAAAGAATAATAGGATTGGAAGGCATCTTGGAGGACTTCTAGTCCAACCCTCTTGCCATAGCCATTCGTCTTCTATTAGGTCTTTGTACGGTATTTTGTGATTTTCTCCAGTTCTTTCTCCTGTCATCTGTTGTCTCCAGGAGAACAAGTAAAAATAATCTTTTGATCCTAACTTGCTGCAATTAAATTTACTTTAAAGTTATACATATTCTAGTTTGAAATTTTGGTTGTGCTTGTAGTTCTCTAAATACAGCAGCCAGAAATACAATTCTACATTTCCCTCCTATCTATCTGCCACTGGGAAAACCTGAGCTTAATGTTTTGTGACCAAACATTGCTTTTCTCAAAAATTTCTTGCTCTGGAACTATTTTTATGAGCTTATTCTGATACAAATCTCACTGAATTTATTTGAGCATACTCACATACAGTATAAGCAACTACAAAACTGCACTCTTACTCTTAGCCTAGCACCTAAAATAGTTTAGGTGAGGAAATCAGACTTTTAAATACTATTTCTCATCTTGCAATTTTTATTACTTCAAACTTTGACAATTTTACAAAAACTGTAGAAAAACCATGCATCTGAAAATTCATTGCTATACAATTTATCTTTAACCCATCTTTTCAGTACTGAAAAAACAATAACATAAATTTATCTTTATGCATCTGATATGTTTATTGAGGTAATAAACTAGAACAATTACCTGCTGTAGCATCTGTTATAGCTTGATTTGTGATACCACTTGGTGGTTCTTGTAGTTGGTAAGTTGCATTGGAGGAAGGAGTTGTTGGACTGGTGTTGCTGCTTGTCATATAATGCGGGGGATATGGAGAACTATTATAATACTGTGCATACTGACCCTGGCCAAAGGTGGGATAAGATGGATATTCCTATCAGAGGCAAGAGAAATGCTGAATTACACTTTCCATCAGTATGCAATTGCATTTTATTTACTTCTAATATAAATTCAAATTCTGTATGCACTTTCTGTTACCTTAGCCTTAAATAAATTACTGTTCTAATATTTATTTCTAAAGAACAGATAATTATAGAAACTGTTTCTACCAAATTTAAACTAAATTTGGAAAGTGAAAATTATACACTGAATTTTTAAAAAGCTTTAAAATTCTGTTACTAAAATAAAAATAAACGTCAAAATTCTAGATACCGCAATATCAAATTTTTCTGAGTGAAGTACAGGTAGTCCTGGACTTACATCAGTTCATTTAGTGACCATTCAAAATTACAACGGCACTGAAAAAAGTGATTTATGACCATTTTTCAGATTTATGACTGTTGCAGCATCCCATGATCTTGTCATCAAAATTCAGGTACTTGACCGTTGGAGTGTCACAGGCACACGTGATCATCTTTTGCAACCTTCTGACCAGAAAAGTCTATAAGCCAAATTCACTTGACAGTGGTGTTACGAAATTAACAACTGCGGTGATTCACTTAACAAATGTGGCAAGAAAGGTTGTAAAATGGGGCTAAACTTACTTAACAACTATCTCACTCAGCAAAAGAAATTTGGGGCTCCATTGAGGTCATAAGTTGAAGACTACCTGTATTTGCTTTGTAATCATTTTAAAAAGGTAGCTCTGGCAACCTTTGATGATAGAAGTATTTCACTAACACAAATATTATTTGTGAAATAAAAATGAAATATTATTTTTTTCAGGCTCTTCCTTTCTCTTTATGCAGCTGATCATTATGTAAGAACTACTACTACATTGATAAAAGAGAATATTTAGCTCAGGGTTGAAATGAGAAGTACTTGCTGCTGCCAGAACTTGGTTGTGTTCTCTGATATTATTTAGTTTTGGCAATGAAAGGTCTGCAAGAAAAAAACCAAGCTCAGACAACACCAAGGACCCTCCCTACTCCTAGTGCAGTTCTATACATTCTATACATAGAAAGACTTATTTGACATTCTCAGATATTGTCAGACAAAAAGGAAATACATAATAGTGTCGAAGATAATTGAGGAATAGGAAAATGATTGTTGTAAGAATGTTAAAATAGTAAGTTTTCAAGTAAAACCAAGATAATTTTAATGTATGCTCATAATTTCTTTTTCAGAGGTAGTACAACTTGTTTAACATGTATGTGAAGACTGCGTCCATTACATGTTATTGGAAGAATATTTTACTACATCCTTCTAAAAAGAAAATATAATAAAAATAAATACAAAAATATATTTAATGTCCTGCCCTACATAAGAGGTACTACAGACAAAATCAGTAAGATACTACACAGGCATCACATCAAGACTGCCTTCAAAACAGACAGAAAAATAGCAGCCATCCTAAGAAACCCCAAAGATAAAATTGACCTGGAAAACCAAGGCATATATGAAGTCCCCTGTGCATCATGCCCTGCCACATAGATTGGACAAACCAATAGAAGAATAAGTACCCGCCTGGATGAACACAAAAATGCAGTAAAAAAGCTGGAACACACTTCCTCACTAGTCCAACACATGAAAGCAACAGGTCATAGCATCGACTTCAATGGCACCAAAACCCTAGCCACTATAGAAAACCCCAGCCACAGAATCATCAGAGAAGCCATAGAGATTGAAAAAAGACCTGAAATCATGAATAGAAGAGATGATTCCACCAGACTGTCAATTATTTGGAAGCCTGCACTCACAAACAAAAAAATCTCCCCACCACAAGCCAGGCAAACTCCTGGGCACAAACAGATCCCATCTGTTACCTCCAGCTCAAACACACCCCAACCAGGCACCCAGATGAAACCTAGCTTCCTAATAAATGATAGCCGTCCATTTACTCGGAGCCAAGCTGCACTAAAACCCTCCAATACAGGAACACAATGTTTCCAGCCAATCAAGACAAAAAAAGCCACAAAACAGACAGAAGATATTAGAAATACCAATCAAGCAGAACACAGCAAACTCCAAACTCTTGGACTTCAGCACTTCAACAGAATAATCAGAGAAGCCATAGAAATAGAAAAACGCCCACACAGCATGAATAAACGAGATGATACCTCCTGCCTACCAGACATCTGGAAACCCGCCCTCATTAACAAACGAGTACCTAACATGAAGGACACCAGACCTAGACCCACCAGGGCCACACAAGATGCTACCACCATACTTCCACGTAGAAAGCAGACTCACACCCACACAGAAGATGAGACACGACCACAGACCAGAAGCCGCACCACAGCTGCATCACTACCCGCTTCAAACCCCTCCAACCCATACATGAAGCGAACTGACAGCCACCATGAAGATGCAGCACGACCACGAACGCGAAGCCAAACAGCAGGATCACAGCTCACCAGCTCAAATCCCCCAGCAACTAAGACTAACCTGAGCACAACCAAGCCCCCACCTGAACAGAACTCACCCCCAGCCAATCTGAACACAGCTAAGCCCCCAACCAATCAGAACACAGCCAAACCCCCAACCAATGAGAACACACCCCCACCCAATCAGAACACAGCCAAGCCCTCACCCAATCAAGTCACACCCCCACTAGCAGTTAAAAGGAAGAAGCAGCTGCAAGCTCACATTATTCCGAGAAGCACAAAGCCGAAGACACAAGCCTGAAGATGATGAATGAGACTTCATCGAAACGTCGCCTAGATACTTCCAATTTTATGCAGGAGAAAACTCGAATAACCAAAGATCCACATACAAATACCCGCGAAAACGTCACAAAACAAATATTGCACCTCTACGGGGAGGAAACCCACCATCTGACCAGGGCTTATGAAAAATTTGAAGTCCAAAGAGCTTCCATTTTATGTGACCTTGCATTCCTACGCAACTGCCGAGATCAACATTTAATCCCCCTAAGCTTCCAATTGAAATTCCACGCCAACACAGCAGCCACCAAACGCATCCTAAAAAGAACAGAATTGGCCCTAATTAGAAATAAACTTCACACAAAAAGATTCCTCCTAGACCAAATCAACAAAGATCTCCTCACACTTCACCTCAGACTCAGCAACAAGATTCACCCCGCACTTTGGGACAAATCCAAACAACTCGCTGTCTGGAGAGCCGAAACACAGACCACCCTCAAGACAGACACACACACCAACAAACTCAAAAGGCTACAACAATGCCAGAAACAAACTCCTTCCCCATCACAGCCACACATGAAACAAACAGTGCAAGATCAGACAAGATCCTGACCGAAGCCGAAACCAATGTCCTTTCGAAAGGATTCAACTTTGCTGTCGCTCCCAAACACATCACCACAGAAACCATTATATGTGGAGTTGAAACCAGCCTGACCAAAACCAACCCTGATGATGCTAACAGAATTAGACTCGAAATCACCAACATCCTCTGCACCAGCAAACCACCCAAAAGCAACTTATCCAAAGAAGAACAAACTGCACTACTTTACCTGAAGGAAGACACCAGCATAATAATCCTACCAGCAGACAAGGGCAATGCGACAGTGGTTATGAACACATCTGACTACCAAACCAAGTTAACCAAACTACTCCAAGACCCCACACATACAAACCCCTAAACACAGACCCCACCACCTACCTAGAAAAAACCACCAGATCCAAAATAAAAGCCTCCCCCATCAGCAAAGAAATCCAGCAAAGAATCATACCCAGAAATCATCCAGATGCCCTAAGCTTTATGGTCTCCCCAAGATACACAAAGAAGGAACCCCACTTAGACCAATAGTCAGCTCCATAGGCTCACCTTTACAAAACTTAGCCAAATTTCTTGCCAAACAACTACAGCCCTATGCAGAATCCATCAACTCACATGTAAGAAACTCATTCCAGTTCATTGAGATCATAAAGAAACAAAACTTACAGCCCAGCGACCTACTAGTGAACTTCGATGTCATATCCCTCTTCACCCAAGTGCCTATAAAAGAAGCCTTGACAGCCATCCAAAGCAAATACAACCCCCCCAAGCACATCCTAGATCTGACCAACCACTGCCTATCCAATACATACTTCACCTACAACGGACAAAATACAAACAAATAGAAGGCGCACCTATGGGATCACCCCTCTCACCTGTCATCACTTACCTCTACATGGAATACTTTGAAACACAAACTCTAGAAAAATATGATCACAAACCCAAACTCTGGCTCAGGTACGTAGATGACACTTTCATAATCTGGCCACACGGGAATGAAAAACTGAACAACTTCCTCACACACCTCAACAGCCTACACCCAAAAATACAATTCACCATGGAAACAGAAGATAACAATCAACTTCCCTTCCTAGATGTCTTAGTATACAAAAAATCCAATGGCTCCCTAGGACACACCATCTACCAGAAGAAAACACATACAAACCGCTATCTACACGCACTCTCACACCACCACCCAGCACAGAGCAATTCCGTAGCCGAGACACTCATCTCCATAACAAAATGCTTAGCTGACAAACAACACCTAAAAACCGAACTACATACTCTCACTAACGTACTAACAGCCAATGGATTCCAAAGAAAGAAAATTACCCACCTAATCCAAAAAGAAACCCCAACCAAAATCCAAGACAAAGAACAAGAGAACGGCAAAATCCTCCTCCCATAAATAAAAGGCACTACAGACAAAATCAGCAAGATCTTCCAAAAACACAACATTAAAACAGCATTCTGCACAAACAGAAAAATATCCACCATCCTAAGAAACCCTAAAGACAAAATCGAGTTAGAAAACCAAGGAGTATACGAAATCCCTTCCACCTCCTGCCCCACCACATATACTGGACAAACCAACAGAAGAATAAGTGCACGCATTGAAGAACACAAGAACACAATCAAAAAAGAAGAACCAATCTCTTCCCTGGTCCAACACCTCAAAGTCACAGGACATGAGATTGACTTTAAAAATACCAGAACTATCGCCAAAACTGAACACTTCAACAACAGAATAATCAGAGAAGCCATAGAGATAGAAAAATGCCCACACAGCATGAATAAACGAGATGATACCTCCCACCTACCAGCCATCTGGAAACCCGCCCTCATTAACAAATGAGTACCTAACATGAAGAAGGACACCAGACCCACACCCATGAGGGCCACAAAAGATGCTACCACCACACTTCCATGTAGAAAGCAGACTCACACCCACACAGATGATGAGACATGACCACGGACCAGAAGCCGTACCGCAGCTGCATCACTACCCGCTTCAAACCCCTCCGACCCATACATGAAGCGAACTGACGCCCACCATGAAGATGTGGCACGACCACGAACGCGAAGCCAAACAGCAGGATCACAGCTCACTAGCTCAAATCCCCCAGCAACTAAGACTAACTTGAGCACAACCAAGCTCCCACCTGAACAGAACACACCCCCAGCCAATCAGAACACAGCCAACACCACAACCAATCAGAACACAGCCAAACCTCCAACCAATGAGAACACACCCCCATCCAATCAGAACACAGCCAAGCCCTCACCCAATCAAGTCACACCCCCACTAGCAGTTAAAAGGAAGAAGCAGCTGCAAGCTCACATAATTCCGAGAAGCACAAAGCCAAAGACACAAGCCTGAAGATGATGAATGAGACTTCAACGAAACGTCGCCTAGATACTTCCAATTTTACGCGGGAAAAAATCTGAATAACCAAAGATCCACATACAAATACCCGCGAAAACCTCAGAAAACATATATATTATAGAATGTTTTGAATGAGCATATGAGCTGAGAGTTGATTGCTAAAAGCAGTAATGTGATATAAAATAGAAATAAAGGAAGTGTAAGAATAAATAAAATGGTTCAATGTCAAATAAAAAGGGGGTATGATGTTCTCTTGGTAGTTTATATTTGGAAAAATCTCTAAGGTCTTGTGGCAACATTAGAGGTGTGGATTAAATACAGAAGTGAATGATTCATGTGAAGAAAATACACTGACATGGTTTGATCACAGAGAAACTAGATAAAGATGAAATCAAAATGGCAAGCAAGAGTAAGTGTGTCAAGAAAAAAGTTGGTTACTAATGTTGATGTGATCTTTAAAAAGAGATAGGTGAACTTTTAAACAACAAAAGGCAATTTAGGAAATGGGATAAGCTCATAGTGGAAGCAAATATGTTTTGTAAGGTATTAATATATGGAGAAGTATATAAAATGATGTGTGAATTGTATTTTTTTGTATTTCGTTTCACTTAGCGTTGACTTTAATTTTTTTTGCTTATTATTTCTTGCTCTTTACTATGCTTTGCATGAGTATGTATGCATAAGAAAAATATTAGGGGTATAAACATTGAAAATATTCAGAAATGATTCAGAGCTCATCAAACCATGCCACTTCTCTGGCTTTAATTAAAGCAACCCAACTACCTCGGCTGCTCATTAAAATTAAGGCAACTCATAATGCAATGGCATTTTCTTTATAATTTGCCTAAAATTTTTTTGAGCTACTTCTTTGAATGGCAGGGAGATGCTATGCTCATGCTTGCAAGCCATCCAAAACACTTTTTCAATTAATTTCCACAATTCTTCCAAGTGTTCCTTTTTCTGCTTTTACCATTCCATTGCATATTCTTTTTATGCCATGTTGTTATGATTATAAACAATGGGCAGGAAGTCAATGTTCATTCTTACAAAAAAGGTACACTGAGATGGCAATAAAAAGTGAGAAAAATATTTCAAATAACCCCACCTCTCATATTTACCTGCTGCGAACCATTGAATCCAGTAGAATTTGTAAGTGAATTATTTCCAGTATATATTCCAGATGATGTTGTGAAACTGGTTCCTAAAACAAAATATTAAAGAGAAAGTATATAAATCTTTAGTATAACTACATTCAGTCAGACTAAAACATGCCTAGCATGGATCTACAACACATTTTGAATTTGAAATGTTCTGTTTCATGATTGAAGAATGATTTCAAGTTCAACATGGTTGTTTCAATCTTAATGAGTGCTGTAGTGCTGTTTGGACAGCTCCATTTTGTGCTCAACATATTAGCCCCATTTTAATTAAAACAAAAACAGTTGCAAATAAGAACCAGAGCTGTTCAAAACTCAGAATAATAAGATGAGAACAATCTGTTTTGAATCCAAGATATAAAAAATTAAGTTTATAATGCTTTGAATTCAAAATATAGTGCACATCCCTAATATTTAGTTCAGCCTTCTGTTGGCATAGTGACTAACCAGGGGACATTCAATAATAGGACTAAACTATGTTAAAATTAATTTCTGTTGATCCTGGAAGAAACTAGGTATCCAGAGTTTTCAGTTTAAGCAGTTTAATATCTCCACATATACCTTCTTGCCATAGAAAGAAAACGTTTTAGCTAAAGGCAAACCTGTGTCATGTCTAATAGTGGCACAGATAATTATAAATTATTTTAGTGTTATTCACTATATAGCCTTGGGCAACACTTTTCTCTTTCTTGAGAAATTACTGTTTCTCCTAATTCCTAGAGCATTATTACATGGCATTTCAAGTAGAAAGACCACTCACTAAAAGGGTTTGGATACTGCAATTCACTGTCAATTTCGTTTCCCAAATAGACAGATGGCCTTCTTGTTTTAATGTTTTTATCTACAAAGCTGTACTTTCTTTTATACCCAAAAGCTAATTTGAACATATGGATAGTTAAAAAAAAACATGTGAAGGATGGATTTTTAATAAAAGCAATAAAGAAAAAGCTGTAATTGAGAGAAAGACTGTTATATACAGAAAAGTTGAAGTAAATAACCCTAAATGTCTTACTCATATGACAATCTTGTGATGGGATTATGAAAAAAAAAGAAAACTCATTCTCTATTGCAGCAGTGTACATCTTTGACATAGTTTTGTAACTATTTTTAAAGCAAACTGAACTTATACCCAAACATGAAAGGTAAGAGGATGACACTGATCTATAATTCTTTATGCCTCATATTTAACCTTTCTGTTTTCCTAGCTTGTAATCATTCTGAATAGGCATTATAAGACTTGTAATCTGTAAAGCACCAGTGTTGGTTTGGCTGACATGTTTTAATTAATATAGCTTTGAAAATGTTTGCTAGTTATACAAATTGTATTTAGCATTCACAAGGGATAAAAAATGCTCATATATTAAGAATAAAAACAGTACAACACATTCATTAGTACCTATATTGACTTTTACTCTCAATCATGTTGTTATTTAGCAAATATAGAATAGCTATATGATAAAGCCATTGTTCCCAGCAAGATTAAAGTGGCAATTGTAGAGCACAGATTAAATATATAGTTTAACCTTAATTCTTAATTATTGTGTTTCAAATTCACTATTATTTCAGAAAGTAAGTATTAACCTTGCTTTCCAGAAAGGATTCTGTGTATGTTTTCTAAAAGGTAACCTTCATCTAGTTAATATGTTAAAGTTTCTGTTCTTCATAGCATTTCTGTAAGCTGAGGGTGAGGGTTCATTCTCCGAGCTTGTGGGTTGGTTTCCAAACATTTTGTTACCAGGATAGGTAACATCTTCAGCAGAGTTTAAGGATGTCAATGTCAGTTTTCTTCTATTCATAACACAGTGATGGCGAAACTTTTAGAGACCGAGTGCCCAAACTGCAACCCAAAACCCACTTATTTATTGCAAAGTTCCAACATGGCAATTTAACCTGAATTATGAGGTTTTACTACCTAAAATTATGATAAACAATGCAGAGTTTAGCTAATTGTTCTAAGAAAAACGTGATAAATGCATTTTCATGCTCCTTCATTTTTATCCTGTTTTTGAAATATTACGTTTAGCAACAATAAAAAAGAAAAACTTTTGTCATATCATTTCTCTTTCCCTCCCTCCCTCCTCTCTGTTTCTCTCTCTGTTTCTATCTCTCTCTCTCTTTTCCTCCCTCACTCTCTTCCCCCCCTCTTCCCTAGGGGGGATCCTCTGAACTGGGGCTGGGTGGTGGGAATCTGACGTCTGGAGGCCGAGGAGCCAGGAGCAGCTCACCCACGCTTAGCTAGTCTGTAGAAAGCCAAAGACCAGCTGGCTGGCAGGGAGGCAGGGCATCCCAACAGAGGCAGCTCTGCAGGAAAAGCAACTGACAGAGGAGAATCAACATGGTCGCATTTTGTCTCTGTGTCATAATGGGCTCCAGGAAGACGGGACCCCATCTCCCCCATTGTGAAGTGCACTAAATTTCACTGTGCTATGCAAGGGGCAAGGTCATGGAGGCAGCAACAGAAAATGCACCGCCACAAAGGCAGAATGCTGTTTCGCGCATTTTTTTTAGTCCTGCAAAGGACGGTGAGAAACGCAATGGAGAAATGGAACAGAGTGAGCTGATGGCACGCGTGCCCACAGAGAGGTCTCTGCATGTCATCTCTGGCACGCATGCCATAGGTTCGCCAACACTGTCGTAAGGGCTTCAGGTGTGGGTGTGTCAAGTGAGGATCTTGTGATGGGTCAGCTGTGGGTCTTGTGATGGGTCTTGTGATAGGTCTTATGATAGGTCTTATATAAGGAGATTACATCAGGTCAGGGTCATTAGAAGTTGATCTGGGGGTGAGGGGTTGCGTGGGTTGGTTGAGGGTCAGTGCTGTCTCTGATTGGCTGTGTGGTTGATTTGGATTCTGAGAGGTTGTAAATCAACGTATCTGTTGTTGGAATTGCTTGTGGAGTGACAGGCTTCAATGAACTCAAGAGTGGGACGGGTAGTAGCATGACTGATAATTTTTGTATTGTTCCAATTGAACTGGTGCTGTTTGGTGTCGATATGGTTGGAAATTAAGGATTTGGAATCATGGTGTGTGACTGTCAGAAGGTGTTTGTGGATCCTGGTTTTTAATTGATGTGATGTTTAAATTTAGATATTGTTTCTTTTCATTTCTCATTTTAAAATATTACTATTTTATAAAAAGTTATAAAAATATACAGTTTATTAGAAAAAACGTAACTACTAAAGACACATTTAACTGCAATTGGTAATATGTTATACTTAAACCAATTCCAAAGCTGTCTTCCAACATTAACTAAATTGTACCAACAAGTTAATTTGAGAGATTATTTTAAATTGTCAGATAAAAAAACCATACTTATGGATACAACTATCTCAGTTTTTCCACACTACTGTATTTTATTTTGATGAAGATTTAGACTTTAAGAAATGGAATTCTAAAAGCAGAAACAGTTTTGAATATGTTAATATTGCAAAATCATTAAAATGAATGAAAAATGCTTATGAAAATGAATGAAAAATTCACAAACTGTATTCAGATGTTCAGACCCAAGAATTAACTTGCAATAAGTCCTGTCCTACCTAACTACAATTTATATGAATATGTACAGATGGTGTAGCAGTCAAACACATATAAAAATGTTTATGTTCTGATTTCCAGACAATAAAAAAAAATGTACTGTCACTGTTTCTTCTCAGATGGAGGCTAGAATATTTATAATCCAAAATACATTCATGGTATTTTCACTGTAAAAATCTATGTTGTATTCATGTAATAATTTATGCTGGCATATTCGGGGCTTCTGTGGAATGACTTTATTTCTGAATACCCAAATACAAAATATTTAAATTGTACAATTGTCATCAACTGGTTCACTGAATGAATTAAAGTTCTGAATTTAATAAAACAAAACAATATGTTAAAACCAAATGAATTATAATCATTTATACAGACCTTGCATCTGGTAACTGTATGGAGCCTGTCCTGGTTGAGGAGTACTAAAGCTTGCACTGTAGCTCAGAAAGCCTGTCTGACCAGGTGACTGTGTTTGTGTCAATCCACCTTCTGTCTTGATGCCTGCCCACAATGCACCTAAATCAGTTAGTGATAGCAAAGCTATTTGTTCAAGTTCAACACTTAGAGGGCATTAATAAATCACACAATGATCATGCATTGAACTGCAAAGGTATATTAAACCACAATTCATTATCTATTTATAAGTTTTCTGTAGAACCACTTAAAATGAGAAAATTGTCTTTTTCAGCACGGATTGGATTTAAGAATACATGTCCATAGAGGCTGTGCCAGAATTCCACAATTGGGATTATATGCTTCAAACCATTTCTGCTGCTCATTAAAGCCACTCATGTTTTCTCAACTTTACAGTCCTTCTTCAAATTCTTCAGGAACAGATTAAAAAAGGTATAAGTCAAATAGGGTTTAAATACTTACTAAAAATAAAATTCATATCATTACCCAAAAATGTTCAGCCTTATTAAATCAATACAATTCTTTACAAAGAGATGCAATTTAGAAACTTTTTTCTCCAGCATAACAATATGAACCGAGAAAGTTAACATTTATACAGTCTAGAGAAAGTTAAGATGTACCAAACAACTAGCCATAATATTTGGCTATTTTTTCCAATTTCAAGGACTGCAAGAAAAATCTGTACTGGAAAGTAGTTATACCATCTTCAGACTTCTTGGAAATGCTTCATGAACGTGTATTGCAGTCTTGTACATGACTTTCGCTTTGTGGTTAGTTTCCATACCACAAGTCATTGTATTGCATTGAAAAAACAATCTATTTGGAGTAAATAAATATAATGATTTGACATACAGAGGAAACTCCTCAAGTAGATCATGCCAATATTGTTTCAAGCTATGCATGAGGTATTTTTGTGTTATGAATAGACTTGAAAGCTAAGACCTGCTTCGGTGCTAATCATCTTCTCATTGAGGTTTATTGAAAAAGGAAAACAGACATTAGGTAAATATTATATACAGCTTTGGTGTAAATTTTTATTTGATCCTATTAGTCTGCGCGATGGTTTTATTTCAAAAGATTTTCCTAATATTTTACTCTCTTCTCTAACTTTAGAAGAGAAATATAAATGATATTATTAGAATTTTGGTAAGATAGTAATGAGAATTATGAGGATCTACACATGCATAAATGAATACTAATACAAATAAAATAAAATTCCATTAAATATGTCGAAGCTAGAATGTAATGAAAAAAAAAACCTGTGGAAACACCATAGACCAGAATGTTATACACTTCAATCATTTCTACTACCTTTCCCCATTTAACAATACTATATTGCATAATGGGGGAATTCAAAAATGCACCACGCTAAGTAAACTGATATGTATATAATGTATGTTTTAGAAATGGTTACTGTTAACTCTGTGATAATTCTAACATTTTCAAGGGCCTTTCTGCTCATCTAAGCCTTTTAGTTTAAAATTTATGCTTTTACACAGTGGTATAAGATCTTACTGCTTTTTTGCTATTTTATGTTAATGTAATTAATTTTATGTTTGAATCTAATCTTTTTAAATATTTTTACCTAGACTCACAGGTAAAATTTATATATTGCAAAACTGATCAAATAAGAAAATTATCTATAGATTTACATTTATATTATTTTGTATTCAAAAATATATTTAAAAACCCCCACTTTTATTTATTTGACTATTGTACTGTATACAAGTTGTTTTCAACCAGAGGTAATATAATATCTACCACAGAACCATTGACGGTATTTATTACCCAAGGTACTTTATGTGACTCAGCTGTCTTTTAATGTATTTAGGTCGTAGATCAATTCCAATTAATTGAGATGAAAAATAATGCTTAAATAAAGCTGTTAAAGCCTTTGCCACTATTTGTGGTCAGTTGCAAAAAAAGTTTGCAGTTCAAGATAACTAGGAAAAATCTGTTTTGCATTTATTACATTTTAAAATCATTTATTACATTTAAAATTTCTATCATTTTAAAAAAGAAATCTGAATGTTAGTAAGCTATTTAGAAAAGAGGTAGCAACTTGATCCAGGAATAATTATATACATTTCATTTTGTACTTCTATTATTGCATATTATTGATGTTCTTGAATTGAATGTTGCTTTTGTTCACCATTTAACACAGCCTTGGCTGTAGAAGATTATAAATTCACAACTAAAAAAATAGAATTGGGGCTGTATAAACCTTTCAGATGTACAAAACCCTTTTTTTGAAATGTTTGAAACAGTTGAATCTTTTGACAGGTTTGCACAACTGGGCTGTCATATGCTCTCTATCTCTATGTATGCAAAAAGAACTGGAATCAACTTCCAACAAAAAGATGCAGCTGCTTTAACAATTCAAAATGCATGTATATGCACCTGTTTCTTCCAAACCACTTCTTTTGAACAATGTACACAACTTTAGTGATTACTTCAGTTTAGCACCATAACTTGATACTCAAGTCTAACTAAAATCTTTTAAAAGTTTTACAGTTATATTTTTTTAACATCAATTTTTTTTTCACTTTTAAAGCAATATTTGCAAATTTAGCTGCTTAAATAATATTTTTGCTTATTATAGGGAAACCTGTTGCCCTTTTCCACTTTCACTCACCATATGATGGGATTCCATAGTGTTGACCAGGCTGTGGGTATGTTGAATAAGCAGAAGCTTGCTGCATTCCGGTGGTAAACTGTGTCTGCCCATATGCAGCCATAGTTTGCGAAGAAGGGGTGGGGAGAATATGTGGATATGGTCTGCTGTTACATGCAAAATGATAGAAAATAGAAAAAATATTTGCATTAAAGCAATAGAATGTCATATTGGTTAAAGTGCATGGTACAATCTAAACATTTTAGTGATATGCAAGTATATTAATATACTTCTATAGCTAAAGATTTATTTTATTATTTTGAAATTCATTTTTTTGCAACAGGAAACTGATTTTAACTACAATTTAACAGTGTCAATCACAGTGATAAAAAGCTGGGTATAACTTTTCTTTTTTCTCTTCTCTTTAAAGTAAAAATATCTTACTTGGAAGAATATATCTGAGGTGGGGAAAACGGGTGTGTTTGTCTTGGGCTGAAGCCACTGCTCCCAATTGCTATAGGGAAGGGGGGGGAAAAGCACATGGAAATGTAAGCATATACACAGAACATATCTAATCTAAATATTATTTTTGTTAGGAAACTGTAGACATTTAACAATGTTTAATTAAACTAATGTCAAGTAATAATTTATTAAAGTCAGACTAGCACGATGACTCCCTGTATCTTAATTACAAATTACATTTTTTCAATTGTTCCTAAGGGATCATTCATAACTTTTACTCTCTGTCATACTTTGCTCTATTTAATTAATGTTGAAGTTACTTCCTTTCAACTACGCTCTTCCTTAATACTCTACATTTATATGAGTGATATTTCTATCAGAACTAATGACCTTTAACTAACAATCTGTCTTCCTCTTTCTCCCTCACACACTAAAAACTATAGCTGAAATTAAACACTTATTCATGTAAACAAATGATATCTTTAAAATCTTGACTTAAACAAATTTATACAATTCAGGATGTTCCTTATATCACTGCCGATTTTTAATCCATTACTATCTAAACCAAAGCTGAGGAATATTTTTCACCTAAGGGCCATGTTTGTTGTGCTTAATCTTCTTCAGATGGACCATAGAACTCATCAGTCAGGGTTCCCATTCAAAGCACAAATGACTAGGTTCTAATTACTTTATTTTAGGCATATTATATGAGACTCAGTTCTCCTAGCAAGTCTGTAATGCTGTGAAAGGATAGAGAAGAAGATGACAACCAGCAGCAGCATAGGTGCAATTTGATTATACCAGCAATGAATGCACCTCTGAAAACCTGAAGGGCTAAGCTGGAGACACATCATCCTGGTGAAATACATCCATCTATGTATTTACTGACAGCAGCTTGATTGCACATCCTCAAATTTTCTTTGAATCACAAATTGGCAGCACTGGTTTTTATATAAACAGACTGGCACACAGTGCAGAAATTCTTATAGACAACTGAACAGCAACAAAATAATACCATTTTTAAAAAGAGCAAATTCAGTTATGAATACAGCAACATTTCAGTTTCCTACACCTTCTAGCTTTTGAGATAGCAAGAAAATGAATGAATTAATTTTCCAAGCAGACCTCTATTCAGTTTACTACTGAAGAACTAATGAATTAGAAGCCTAGCAAACAGTATTTAAGATTTTCCACTTCTATTGCACAGTATTTGACAGTAGCCTGCCAGGATTGCAACAGATCTTTTCAGTGACATGTAAAGTTCTAAAGATTAAACATGGGTTTAGTCTACACATTTTCTACTGAAATACAGAAAGATATGCAGAGTATCAAGAAGCTACACATATTATCTTCAAAGAAAGTTCAGTGTCAACCGAATCTTAAAATGTAAGAATATTCAGATTGAAAAGATATAAACAATATATTTTCAAAGGAAGATTATTTAGTCTTCCCAAAATATGCAGAAGCAGCATACTACACAAGCTGCTTGGTTATTACTTATGAAATTAACAAGAAATCGTTCACTGAAATATATGGGGCTCAAGTATTTTATTCTTTATTCTATGAATATCAAAAGGTTTAGGAAAACTATTATTTTCATATTATGAACTGAATTAGACTGGCAGGTGATTACTTCACAATTTCTGCCATGGGAGATAAGCTGGATCAGATGAAAACTTTTACTATTCCATTATTCTGCTCCTACTATACTATGGATAAATAAATGCTTATGAGAAGTTCCTAAGTGAGATAAACAAATGGTACCATCTTACCTCATCAGCAACTGATGTTAAAAAAACATAACACTTTTCATACTAGACCTAATCTATATTAAAAATAACAGTCACTAATACATTTATCTTCTATAAATTTGTCTAATAACTGTTTAGGGCTGTCCATGTTGGTGAAACATATTACATGCTCTAGAATTAGATTCCAGAGTTTAGCTATGTAATTCATTATGTAAAAACAAACCCTGTTATTTGTTCTGAAAATATTATGAGAAAAGATGGGAGATTCTTTTCATACTATATATGTCACAATACATGTCCTACGTGCCTTTCTTGTACTTTCCTTGTATTTAATTCTATTCTGCAATTTTTCCAGTTCTGTGTTAATCTTTTTCAATAGAAATGGTTAGTGCATCAGTATTGTTTAAAATTATTACAAAACTGGCAGATTTATTTTTTATTCTTTTCCTAATAATCACACAGTAATAAATCTGTTTTTATAGCAGTCATCTCATGAAATATTTGCAACCTCCCAACTGTATTCCCTGCCAATTACTACATATCCCAAGAAAGAAATATATATTTTTTACACACACACACACACACACACACACACAGAGAGAGAGAGAGAGAGAGAGAGAGAGAGAGAGAGAGAGAAAGGGAGAGAGAGAGGCTAGAATGCAGTATTGCAGGCTAACTCAACCCATAGCCTGGAGTTCGATCCTTAGACTTCCATCCTTTCGAGGTTGGTAAAATGAGGACCCAGATTGTTTGGGGCAATATCTAAACCACTCAGAGAATGTTGTAATGCACTTTGGACTGGTATATAAGTTTAAGTGCTATTGCTATTGCTATTGCTATATAATCTTCTGCCATTGAAACAAGTTGTTAGTAAGTATCAAAACCATGACTCAGACATTTAGATACAGTTAAAATATTTTATTTCTTACCTGGTCCTGAGAAATTTTCTAAAGACCCGTCTGTTGTTGTAGTTTCACTGCTGCTCATTGGCTCTGTTTTAACTAAAAAAACAACCACAAATAACATGTGTTCTATATACCTATTATTTGTGCACAAACCCATGCATACATGCAAAACATATACTGTAAGCACCCAGTGGGATCACATACAAAAAGGCAACACATCACAAATCACAACAAGTGCATTTATAGAATACAGACTCCAGAAGTGCTTAAGTTAAAAATGAGTAAATAATTCATTAATAATTAGTTAAATCATATATTATTTTTCTAGAGAAATATCAAAAGTGATGAACATAGAAGATAATCAATATTCTCAAATCTGATAATATTAATGAATCCATCCAATTGTATAATTTTATTTTTCATCTTTTAATCTCTTTGCCATGTTTTTACCTTATTGAACATATATTACATTGTAATTAGAAACCAGACTACTTTAATTCCTTATAAGTTGCAGGCTTCTTCTAATACAAGCAATTTGACACCATTTGATCAACAGGTGCTTTTAAGGATTTCAGACAAGAACCTTCCCTATTCTATGAGGTGATGGCATAAGTTAAAGAAGGGACCTTGGAGGACTAGAAGACTTCCAAAGTCATTTCCAACGGTTATTCTATTCTGTTTTGTTCTGTTCTGTTCTATTCTTTATTCCTGTTTTAAAGCTCTTGTCCTAATTGTAGTGCAGTTTATATTGTGACGGGACAAGGTCATTTATTTATTTAGTTATTAAAACTAAAATACATTAAAATAGACATTGTCACTATCTTACATTAAAAGTTGTTGCATATATAAAGAAAATATACAAAAAAGTCAATTTGATAGTTAACGTAGGATGTATTATATATGTGGAATATAATAAATCAGTATAAAAGTAAGAATTTCTAAAGATGTCCTTTTTAAAGAGAAAAGCTGTAGGTACTTTCTCTGTACATAAGTAGTGTTAACTATAGTTATCTTTCTCTCTTTTTCAATTACTAAAGTATATATTGTACTTTCCCTTAGAATGAAAAGGGCGTTGGTACTTACCTGATATACCCGTTCTCTGTGAGCTGTGAAGAGCATCCAGAAGTGGGAGGTGCTTCAGTCTCTTCTGGAAAGGCTGGGCTTAAAACTCCAGGACGCTCCTCCTCCTCCACGGGACACCTCCCCAGTGTCCCCCAGTTTTGCCAACACTGAGTGCCAAAGTCCGGAACTCATCACCTAATCTAGATCCCTGAACGGAACAGAACCCCACCAGATGGAAAGAAATGGGTGGGGCTGGATGCTCTTCACAGCTCACAGAGAACAGGCATATCAAGTAAGTACCAACGCCCTTTCTCCCATGAGCTGTTCAGAGCATCCAGAAGTGGGACATACTAAAGTTTGGACTGTCCTTAGGGAGGGACTCCGTCTGAATCAAAATCCACTCCTAAACTCTGTGGACCCTCTGCAGGACTCTTCTGCCAAATGAAGCGTCCGCTGAGGCATAGACATCAATTTTATAATTTCTGACAAAGGGCGATGGTGAAGCCCAAGTTGCCACTCTGCAAATTTCGTCTATGGAAGCCCGTGTGGCCCATGCTGCTGATGTTGCCACACTCCTTGTTGAGTGGGCTGTAATGCCCTTAGGAACTGACTGGCATTTGTAACTTTTAGCTATGGTGGCTCTGAACTATCTACCAATGGTCGTCGACGACACCTTTTCGAAATGCCGCCATGAGGTCTAGATAGATGCTTAACGCCCTTCGAACGTCAAGTCGATGCCATTGATGCTCCAGTCTATGAGATGGTTTCGGACAAAAATTTGGAAGCACCAACTCCTGCGCTCTGTGGAAGACTGAATTTACTTTAGGGGTGAACGATGGATCCAATCTGAGAACCACTCTGTCCGCATGAAACACGCACAGGTCCTTTCTCATCGACAACGCTGCCATTTCGGAAATCCTCCTTGCTGATGTGATCGCAATTAAGAAGACCACCTTATATGGCAGGAACTTGAGACTAGCGGTTCTTAAAGGCTCGAACGGGCCAGTTGTAAGTGCGGTTAACACCTTGTTGAGCTCCCAAGTGGGATAGCGGTGAATTACAGGAGGTCGTAAGTTTGCCTTAAGAAAGCTGCGGACATATGGATGGTGCGCTATGGAACTAAGGTCACCCCAGGATATCACTGAGGATAAGGCCGGCACCTGTCTGCGTAAAGTATTTGGAGATAGGCCCTTGGTCAACCCCTCCTGTAAAAAGTCCAATAATTGTCCTATAGATGGGGCGGTTGGGTCGATCTTAGACCCCCGGCACCAGTGACAGAAAGCGGACCACGTGGCCTCGTATATACGATTTGTTGAGGACCGTCTGGATGCTTGTATGGTGGCAATGGCATCCTCTGAAATCTGTTGGGTCCTTAAACGGCTCCGCTCAACCTCCATACGGCTAGGCTAAGCCATTTTGGATTCGGGTGAAGTACCGGCCCTTGCGAGAGGGAAACCCTCGATGGTGGAATTCTCCAAGGTTGTTCTCTCGACAGGTCCTGTAAGTCCGCGAAACACGTTTGCTTGGGCCAGTAAGGGGTGACCAATATCAATTCCACTCATTCCTCCAATAACTTCTGGATCAACCTGGGTATTACAGGGAGTGAAGGAAACGCATACAGAAGTCTGGGAGGCCATTGACATCGCAGGGCATTGACGGCTTCCACCCCCTGAGTCGGGTACCTTGAAATATACTGGGGCAATTGGGCGTTGAAGGGAGAGGCAAATACATCGATCACCGGTTGCCCAAACCTTCGCACTGCTTCCTGGAAGAAAGACGGGTGTAGGCGCCACTCTGTCTGATCTATCGTGGCCCTGCTGAGCCAGTCCATTTGTGTGTTTAAGGCCCCTGCTATGTGCTCTGCCTTAAGCGAAAACTGGTTGGCCTCGGCCCACTTGAACAACCTGGCTGTCTCCAGCATCAGAAGTTTGGAGTGGGTACCCCCCGTCTGTTTACGTGGGCCTTGGTTGTGATATTGTCTGTCAAGACCAGAACGTGGTGTGATTGGAAAATGGGTAGAAAACTGCGTAACGCCAGATGAACTGCTCGCAGCTCCAACAGGTTGATGCTTTGTGATTTTTGGGAAATAGTCCAACTTCCCTGTGCAGTGTGGGATTGGAAGTGAGCTCCCCATCCTACCAGGCTGGCGTCGGTTGTGATCGTTGCCCTACAAGGTTCCTTGAAAGGACACCCCTTGTTTATCGTGTTTTCCGACCACCAGCGGAGCAATCGGAGAACATTGTGCGGTACCTTTATCTGGACGTTGGAAGTGGCTCTTCCAAATCACTGGAAAGGTAGCAGGAACCATTGCAGATCTCTAGAATGGAATTGAGCCCAAGGCACAATGGAAATACAAGAAATCAGTTTCCCTAACAGTTGAGACAGAACTGCCAGGGAAACCCTCTTTAAGCCTCTGATCTTTCTGGCCAAAGACTGGATACGATTCAACCTGTCCTGAGAGAGAAAAACCTTGCCCTCTACGGTATCTATCACTGCCCCTAAATGAACTAACCTAGTTGAAGGGATCAAATGGCTTTTATCCCAATTTATGGAAAAGCCATGACCTTGAAGGGTCTCCAGAGTAATCTTGGTATCCAAATTTGCTTGATGTCTGGAAGATGACAAAATTAAAATATCATCCAGATAACATTGTAAACAAATAGATTTGATCCTGAGGAAGGCAGCCAAAGCCGCTAGGGCCCTGGTAAAAGTCCTGGGGGCCGAAGCCAGACCGAATGGTAGGGCGATATATTCGTAGTGCTGATCACAATAGCAAAATCTAAGGTATTTGTAGTGAGCAGTTCTAATTAGTATATGTAGATAAGCCTCTGTCAGATCTAGAGGTCAGGACATCGTTCTCTCTGATGCTGAGCAGAATGGACTGGAGAGTAGTCATCTTGAATTTTCGATAAACCAATGATCTGTTCAGACGTTTGAGGTCCAGAATTGCCCTCCAGACCCCTGAACTCTTTGGGACCACAAACAATAGAGAGTAACAGCTTTGACCCTGTTGTTCAGATGGGACCTCTCTAATGGCCCGAATATACAGAAGATGATTGATAGCCTCCTGCATCAACGCTCTCTTAATGGGGTCCGTGGACCTTGGGCTCCTAATGAAAAAGTTCGGGGGGAGGATTGAAACTCTAGCGCCAAACCAAACCTAACAGAGTCCCTGACCCACACATCAGAGGTGGAGCTGTCCCATTGATCAGCAAACAATTTTAGCCGCCCTCCAATGGGAGCTGCTTTCAAGGACCCACTTGGGGCGACGAAAAAATTGGCCTCCGGTACCTCTGGGGTTTCTTCTGTTCTGGCCCCCCCGCTGACCTCTATCGGAAGACTCCGACCTATCCTGTCTAAAACTGGGCCTGTAGCCTGATGTTCTCTGCGATCTGGGAACGTACGGGGCCTTGATACTAGGGCCGAAAGGAACCCCTTCGAAACGACTGGGGCGTTCTGTTTTCAGACCTCCGAAAAAGAGGGGGAAGCACTTTTTTCTTGTTTCTATTCTCAATAAGCAGGGGCTCCAAGACATTGCCAAATAATTTATCCACCGATATTGGGGCTTATGCCAGCTTCCATTTATGCTTGGTATCCGCCTGCCAATGTCTGAGCCATAGCAGTCTCCCTGCTGATACGTGAGATGCTATGACTCTAGACGAGAATTTGACTGCATTAAATGTGGCGTTGGCGGAGAATTCTGCCCCTGCAATAATCTTAGCAATGTCCTGGTGGGCTCTGACATTTGACGCCGGCAATATATCCCTCAAGTGGAAGAGCCATCGTAGGGAGGACTGTGTAAAAAAGGATGCAGCTGTAGCTGCCCTAATGGCCCAGGTGTCAGAAACATGCTCCCTATGGAGTGCCAACTCTGCTCTTTTCCTCCGGTCTCAGGGCTTCCTTGGCCTCGTTGGGAAAGGTTGAAGGAGAGGCCAGTGCCACAATGGGCTCATCCACCTCCGGCGTTTTGAGAAAATTTGAAAACTCTGGTGCCAAATTATAATATCGTTTATCGTACCCTGTTGGGCTGGGTA